TCCCGTCACAGCAACGCTCAATGTCGGTGGACACCATCGACGCTCCGAGCACCGCGGCGTCGACCTGCTGCGAAGAGGCCCACCAATGCCAGCCGCGTATGCATGGGGCGATCCGAGGATGGGGGATCCTCCGAGCCGCCTGCCCGCCTGGCCGCCCGCTCAGGCTACCGCAGCCGCCGCGGGCGAGCCCCGGGGGCACAGTGGAGGACATCCACCAGGCCACGCAAGCGGCGCCGCCCCACCGCGGCTGGCCTGCGGCCCTCAGAGCGCGCCTTGACGCGGAAAGGGGGGCCGCAGCTAACCGCCGCAAGAGATACGTGACTGGGTAGCAGCTGCACGCCGAGAGCGTCTACACGCGCGGGGGGCGCAGCTAACCGCCGCAGAAGACGCATAGAAAGATGGGGGGGGGGGGGGGGGGGGGGGGCAGGACTGCGCCGATGCAGCCCGAGCTGGAGTGCGCCAGCGTCGGACGCGCCACGCGGGAGGCCATTCGCAGCAGCCTTGCGCAACATAGCTGGATCTGCAAACTGCCGAGGTACCGGCTGGGCGGCGTGCAAGGGGGCGACTATTTCAGGCGACGACCCCTGCGACCGGCAGCGGGCGGCTGTCAAGTGGACAGCAAAGGAAGGCGCGCTGGGGGGGTGCATCTACGGCCGCCCCCTGGGCACCGAGAAAGAGTGGCTGTCGCGGCGGGACAGCAAAGCAGGCGGCCCTTGGGCGGGCGAGGCCCGCGGGCTGGCCCCCATCTGCTGAGGGGGGGGGGGGGGGGGGGGGGGGGGGGGCAGGCAAGGTCCACGTATCCAGCCTGGGCTGTCTAGCTATGCTGCGCCAGGGGGTGAGATGTGGGGAGACCCCCGCCCCAGCGGGAGTTGCCCTAGGGCATTATGGCCGAGGCCAGGCGCTGCAGAGTGAAACCAACCCCAGCGGGGTGAGGCGCGGGCGACGAGGGGGGGGCTCGCGGGCGACAGGCCGGGAGTGCCGGTGGGCACGCTGTCAGGCCAGCCCGAGCCTGCTACCCCTGGGCGTACTAGTCCCCCCTGTCCCACCATCGTGCACGCTTGTCTGTGTATCGATCGTCTCCCCTGGGGGAGTAGCGCTTGCCTTTCCCTTTCCTGTCTGTTTCCGTCCACGGTGCTTTCTGGTGGTTCCAGGAGCCCCACTCCTGCCATTCCTGCCAGCGGGAGGGGGTGGCGGAGCCGATGGCACCTGCCCAACGATCACGCACGGGCGCCGCCGCGGCTGCTCTGCCTTCTGCTGTCCACGGGGCAGATCCACTGCTGCTGGCAGGTCCGCGCTGAGCGTGGGTCTTGGGTTCGCGTTGGAGGAGCTTCATGTGCTTGCCTTTGACCGACGGCCAGTGGACGCTGAGCCCTAGGTCGCTGTCCATCTTGTAGGCGTCGTACCCTGAGCTGTCCCACGCCTGGATGAAATCGTTGCACAACTGGACCGTGTTCCGTTTCGGGTCGTGCTTTTCGCTTCCGCTGGTCCCTTGTTTCATGGCAGCCTTCTTCACCCATGCGGCCCAAACTCCGTTGAACGCTCCTCCCAGACTCCTCCCAGCGTCTTTTGCAGGCGTACTATCTTTTCCTGCACGGGTTCATCCTCGTCCGCATCGGCAACAGGGCACATGTACATGGGGATGCCCCCCATGGGGTCGCTTGGGTTGCCTCGGGGAGGCGGCGTGGCCCTTACATCATTCCAGGGCGCCTCGGAAATTTGTACCCGCGCTGGGTCGCCTCTTGGGGATTTGGTGGCACGGCCCCTTGGCGTCATCCCACACGGGTCGCTGGCGGCCCTTGTCACCGCTCGCGCGGCTGAGGGTACGGTCATCCCTGACGTCGTTGATGCTCCAGGGTGCGCTGTATGCTCTTCGTGGACTGTCTTTCGCGCTCTTGATTACACGGGCGGCGTTCCTGACAACGATGTGGTCGTATGGGGACCAGGCGTCGGGCCTGTCGGGTCTCCAGAAAGAGTTTGAGGGGGTCCACTCTTTCCTCGTCGGCCACCAGTGTTGGGCTGAGCTCCGGGCTCGGGTCGTTGGCGCAGTCGGTTTCGCTTTTCTTGTCCCCTTCCTCTCCCCAGTCGATCCCGTCAGGTTCGCCTTCGATCTTGCATGCCTGGCCGGTTGGGGCCCTCCCCTCTGCCTGAGGGACGCGCCCCCCGTCTGTGCCCGAGGCGGGGGGGTACGCTCTGGGGGCATGGGCAGAGATGTCCTCTCGTGCAGGGACGATGGGGATACGCGAAGCGTCAAGAATCACAATCTGACCTCCCAGGAGTTGCATCCAAAGGGATTCATCGGATGCCTCTGAGATCCGGCGGTTCTGGAGGATGTGCTGGGCGCCGCGGCCTTCTCAGAGCGTGCCGGAGCGCTCTGAGAGCGTACTGGAACGCTCTGGAACGATGTTACCCTTGTCCCAGCCCCGCCCAATCACCGCCGCCGTCTTCGGCGACGATGCTTGAGCCTGAGACTGAGCCTCGAAGCCTCGCGGGGCAACTTGAGACCAAATGTACGTCGGATGCACGTCAAGTTCGCGTGGGATTGCGTCGGGTTTGCGTCGGATGCACGTCGGATGCACGTCGGAACGTCGCCCAGCGAACGTCGTCCCATATCTGACGGGGCGGATGTGCGGACTAGACAATACAACTGTTTCGCGCAGCGCGGGGCCTCGAGAATCTTTTTCAGAGGCCACCATCTTCGGCGTTGATGTTTTAGCCTGAGCCTGAACTGGATCGGATCGAGAACTTGGATCGGATCGGACACGGACCGCATCGCCAACATGTCGCCGCGGATCGAATCTAGACTAAATCGTAGCGCCTGGCTCTGGCAGGCCCTAGCCCGATGCCAGTGAATCAAGCCGAATCGAATCGAATCGGAATCGCGACCCAAGACGGCAAATATAACAGCACCGAATCACAGGCGGCCCTGCTTAGTGGCCGTCGGCGTCGGCGTCGGCGCCGCCGTCGTTGTCGCGATCGTGAACGTGATCGTCGTCGCCGTCTTCAGCGTTGTCGACTTCGGCGCCGTCGTCGTTGCCGTCGTCGTCGTCCTCGGCGTCGTCGGCGTCGCGGGCCCAGTCGTGAAAGCCGAACGCCGCGCGGGCACCCAAAAAACCGCGGCGGCCCCCCTGCGGCTGGCACGGCTGGAATGTATGTTTCCGCGCGCGGCCGCGGGCTGGGGGAGCTCCCGTTCCCTGGGGGGGCTCCATGGTCCATGAGGTCAGGGGGCGGTTCCCGGGAAGTTTTCGTGGGAACGATGATAAGCTACTCTGAGCCCGACCCCAAGATTCAATAAAGAGCATTCAGCCAAATTCGGCTCAGGATTGCCGAAATTCTCGTGAGCGCCGCTGGGGATGCTCCAGGTCTCTCTGCAACCGTGAAGGGACAGGCCGGACCAGGCCGCATCGACACAGAGTCGAGATCGAATCGCATCGACCGCGCCAGGATGATTAGCACACCTGCGCCATGCGAACATCGGGCCACATCGGAGCGTCGGCATAATCGCAATCAAATCGGATCAAGCTGGCCAGAATCGGCATCGAATCGGATCGAAATGGAGCCTGGAAGGGGGTCCTGAAGTTTTCCGCCGGTTCTGTACAGAGGTCGCTCACACAGCGGCATCTTGAGCAAAGGTAGCTAGTCCGTCTGGAAGAAGCTGGAACCTGTTCTGCTTGACTCGGCGTCGTCGTCGTCGCCGTCGCGTTTGACCCGCCTTTCACTGGGCCATCCTCCTCAAGCGAGCCAGCCAGAGGGAAGCCAAAACGAAATTGGGCAACGTCGCATTTGAGTCGAAGGGCCCTGGGGGGGGGGTCCCGGGTCAGATTACCATCCTTCCCAGGGGGGTCCTATGGCCCACAATGGCCCCAAGACAGCCGCCCAAGAGACCCCCAAGACCGTCCAACAGGGCCCAGAATCGCTGAACAATCGGTCTAAGATGCCAAACATGGCCTCCTGACAGCCCAAGCCGCTTCCAAGACGCTCGAAGAGGGCCTCTGAAAGAACACCGAGAGGGCCCCAACAGGCAAAATCATATGATGTTTTTAGTTTCTTTTAGTTTTTGGACACATTCTGGCGTTCTCGCCTTTTCGGCTCCCCGACGCCCCAGGATGCCGCCAAGATCGGCACAAGAGGTCCCCAATACGTTTCCAAGACGGCCGCAAAACGACCCAAGAGGGCCCCAAGATGGCCCGCGAGGCCTCCCAGACGGTCCAAGAGGCCACCAAAACGGCTCGAAGAGGGTACCCACAGGGGAACCCCCAAGATGCTCCCAATAGGCCCCGAAATGGCCCCCAAGAGGCGTACAAGCGCGCTCCGAAGATGCCCCACGAAGCATCCCTGAAGACTCTGCCCCACGTCTGCGTCGTCGTCGCCGCCGACGCCGCCGTATTGGTCGTCGTCCCCCTTCAAGGTCGGCGGCGCAGCCGTAAAGCCTTCCTAATAACAATAACGACACAAATAACAACAACGGACGGATCGCCTGTCCAGCCGTGCCTACATCAAGAACTGTAGAAGCATGATGCTGCGAAGTGGGACTTGTTGTACCTGATGTTATTTTCATTCGCGCGGATGCGCAGATGCGTTCCAGAAGCTAGAAATCAAATGGTATTGGGCTGCCTCGCAGACTGGTCGGACTGTGCAGTGCCAGGCCGGGACTGCCAACATTCCAGCGGGCCTGCCAGTATATCATTCCAGCGGGCCCGCCAAGTTCCTCCGACACTCCTCTACTGTTAGACGAAACCCAGCCCGAAAAAATCTGAACAGAGCTGGGCAAGCATTCCAGGGGATCCAGCGGAGCGGACCGAAGAGCTAGGAAGTGTTGAGAAATCAAAGGAGGAGGAGGAAGAGCCGCAGTCTGTAAGCCAGTGCCGGTGACGATGCCAGCATGCTGACCTGCGGGATCAGAGCGTGGGGTCCTCCTCAACCGCGGGTGTGCTACGGATGACGAGGGGTGAAAAGCGAGGTGCAGCGAGGGGGGAGAGTGGCGCTCTGACGCTGCCCAGCCCTCACGGGTTCTCAGAGCGGTCTGCGGCGCAGTCCGTGGCCACCGGTCCTCCAGCACGGCGGTCCTTACCGCTGTGATACGCGGCTCCTGCCTGCCAGCCACGTGGCCTCGCGCATCTCTCGCGCGCCCTGCGGCAATCGGGGCGCCCAGCATTGGCACGCTGCGGAGCGGTGAAACAATCACCGCCAGCCAGCAGGCAGACCTCCGTCCAACTAGGCGTGCTGTCCCAAGGGCTGCGGCAAGCGGGGTGCAGTCGGGCCGCTGAAATAAGGAATGGTAAATAAGGAACAAAGCCCCTGTTTGGCCCCACAAGCGACAGCGTGCCCGAGGAGGGCTAGAGGAACAACCACGTCGTAACCTAAGGAACATCGAGCCCCTTTCGTGTCCAACCTGTTCCTTATTTCAGCGCCTTGACTGTAGACGAGCAGGAGGGGAGGAGGAAAAGGAGAAAGGGGACTGGACTGGACTGTGCAGCCACCTGCAGTGCCGGGGTCTCGCGGGTCACGCAAGGCCATTACTGGAAAGTACCTTTCTCAAGACTGAGGGGAAGGAGAAGGACACGGAGAAGGTGGAGGACGACCAGGAGGAGCAAGAGAAGGAGGACGAGGATGAGGAGGAGGATGAACAAGCATTTACCCCGCTCACTGGTGCCCTTGAGACAGCCAACGGCAGGTTCTCGTCGCAACAACGCTGGCGTTGGCTTCTGATACCGCGTGGATCGCCCGACCTTGAGCGATCGCGCCTTTCAGATGGCGCACATCCGCTGCACACTAGAGCGACACTAGACAAGAGTAACCCTGCGCAGCTTTCGGTGGGACGGGGGGGGGCGGCGGGGGCCAAACCCGAGCGCGCAAGCCACTGCCACCGCACCGCATCCAGTGGTCGGGGGACCGCAGTGTGCCCGCACCAGGGGTCACTCCAGCGACGGGCCACTCTTGCGGATCTGGGTCGTCCGGTCTTCGGGCCATAGCTCGGTCCCCGGAACGCTCTCGGCGAACCGCAGCTGCTGGAGAGCCTCTCGAGGCGAAGGAAGCGCGGAGAACCCTCGAGAACGCCCGACCTCCTGGCGAGACCGCCGCGTGGGGTCGACGACAGCGCAGATCGCCCGATAATGCGGGCCCACTCTGGGCCCACGGGCGGCGTTCAGCCTTTGAGCCCCCTCGGCCGGGGGCCGCCGCCGCGCCGACGCGGGCGCGGACCTGCCGCGGCAGAGCCATCGCTGCCTGCAGAGTCAGCGGGCGCCGTCCGAGGGACAAGTCCTTGGCTCGGCAGGGGGACCGCTGCTCGGCGGCCCGCAGCGCCGCCACGCGCGGCCGTGCGGGGCGCGCTGCCTCGGCGGGGGCCGAGGGCTGCCGCCAGGGCTGCCCCAGGCACCAGGCGGGCTGTGCAATTGCCAGGCCCTGGGCCACTCCAGATCCTCCGCCCCGCCTTCGGCGGCGAGCCCAGGGGGGAAATGAGAAGGGGCGGGCCTTCTCAGAGGGCTTGGAAGTCCCCGGGCCATCTGAAAAGTTCTCAACGCCTTCCTCGAAGGCACAGAAAGCCTCTCAGAAGGCCAGAAGGTTTCTGAGAGGTCCCGCCGCATTCTGAGAAGGCCTTCTCCTTCTCACTTCCCCCCCTCGCTCGCCGCCGACACCTGCCTGGCCTCCCGAGCCTGCGCAGGAGGCACCTGTGCACCACCGCCGTGCTCGGCCAGGGGCATCCTGGGCCCCCGCATGGTGCCCACGCCCCCCTGGCCGAGGCCAGGAGGGCCTGTGCGCCATCCTGGGGCCCAGGATGGCCTCGGCCAGTGGTGCATAGGCGACTTCTGCTGACTACGTTGCCTCTTCGGGGCGGGCCTCGTCTGTCTTATGGCGTCGCTATTCGTGTCGAGTCAGCGCCGGATTCGCACTGGTCGCACATAGTACACGAGAAAGACCGCCCGCCCAGGGGCAAGCAAGGCCCCCCCAAAGCTGCAGCTAGACAACTCCCTCCTCCCCCCCCCGCGAAGGCACGCGTGCAGTGCACGCCGCCGTCCTTGTTCTTCCCCCTGTGACAGCGGAGGCAGCTGCCAGGTGCAAAACGTGGCAGGAGACGGCTGTCGCCCGTGCACCTGACATCACTGGCAGCTTCGAGGAGAAGCGGGGACGAGGGGGCAGGATCAGCTGGCAGCGAATCGGGAAATCGTATCGGATCGGGCCATGTCTACATACGAACATCGGGCCGCATCGGGTCGCCTGGATGTCGAAATCGAGTCGCATCGGCCTGGGCAGGCCGAAACCGATATCGAGCCGAACCGACGGGATCAACACGGACCCTGAGAGGGAGAACAAGGAAGATGTGGCGTGGCGGAACAAGAAGAGGCAGCGCTCGCGAGGGCAAGAGTAGGTATCTGTCCTTAGCAGGCCAAGATGGGCCGCCTCACCAACTCTGCACCTCGAAGCGAGCGCGGATGCACTGGCTCATTGACCCAGTACGTACCCAAGCCAGACCTCCAACGACCCGTTTTGTTCGAGCTGGTGGCCCCTAGACCTCTCGACCCCTTCCCCCGGGCCGAGTTTTCGTCCCAAATCCGCTCTTGACTGTGACGGGGCCCAGGAAAAGGACCCCCCGAGCAGCCGAACTGACGCCAAGAACACTTTTTTTTATCCCCGCATAACTAACGTCCGTCACCGGGGGGGAGGTCCGACCACTGCGGGCGTAGCGGTAACGTGGCGGGCGCGGGCATGGTACTAGCAACAGGGGTACCGGAAAAAAACCACGATGACGACGAGGCGACGACAACGACAACAACAATGACAATGACGCCGACGACGACGACCGGCCAGGACGGCGACAACAAAGACGACCAGCGGCGCCGACGACGACGACGACGACGACCAGCAGAGACGAGAACGACGACCGGCGGTGGCGTCGACGACTGGCGGCGACGACGAATAGTAGCAGAAGAAGTACCAGAATGAAACAACTAATATCTTAAGCACTTGTAGCAGCAACAAAAAATTGTCATGATAGTACTGGTAATCGTATTGGTACTAGTAGAATGGGTGATACCGGTACTAGCAGAAAATTTAGCAGAAGCAATCATGCACGTGCCGGTAAGAGTTGTAGTAGAAGAACTACAAATATGAGTAGTTTTTGTAGACGTAGCAGTAGTACGAATAGCGAGTAGCGTAGTAGTCGATGTAGTACTAGAAGAAAAATGAAACAGCTCATCTTACCAACACGTGGTGCGCAGCACGTGCCACGTAGCACGACGTCCTGACTTAAACCTGTCCAGCAGCAGCAATAATAAAATCACGGGCGCGATTATAACAAAAGTCGTTGTACTGGACATATGGAATTGCCCAGAAAGTGGTAGCAGCGATTGATACTTTGATTCCCCTGTGTAAGTGTAATAATTCCTGCGGTCGTAATCGGAATGGTTGAGAAACAGACGAAGGAATAATCCAAGTAGCAGCAGCCGTAAAAAGAAATAATATCAGTAGCAGCGGTGGTGGTACTAGTAGTAGCTCCAGCACTAGCAGAAACAATAGTGATAGTAGTAACAGTAGAAGCTGTTGAAATAAAAATCGTAACACTAGTAGTTGTAGTAATAGTACTGGTGGCAGTAGTAGTAGTAGTAGTAGTGGTGGTAGTAGTAGTTGTTATTGTCGCTGTTGTCGTCGTAATGCTAGAAGTAGTAGAACGATACGTAGTAGTACTAAGTCGTAGTGGTAGTAGTAGTCGTAGTAGTAGTAGTAATAGTAGTAGTAGTAGTAGTAGTAGTAGTAGTAGTAGTAGTAGTAATAGTAGTAGTAGTAGTAGTAGTAGTAGTAGTAGTAGTCGTAATAGTAATACTCGTAGTAGTAATAGCACTAGTCGTCGTAGTCGTAAGTGAATGTAGTAGTCGCCGTTCGCCGTAGTCGAAATCGTAGTAGTAGCAGAGTATACGTAAACCGTACTAGTAGCAGTACAAGTGGGTAAGAGTACTAGTAAACATAATCACACAACTGGCGGTAGTAGTCGTACAAACAATGGTGGTTATGGTGGTGGTGGTCGTGGTAAAAGTCGAAATCATAGTCGCCGTCGTAGCCTGCGTAGCAGTAGTAGTCGTAGTCCTAGTGATAGTGATCGTAATAGTCGTAGTAGTAATAGTAATGATAGTAGTCGTAGTGATAGTAGCCGCCGTAGCCGTAGTCGTAGTCGTAGTAGTAGTGGTGGTAATAGTAGTGGTACTTGCCGTCGTCGTCGTAATAGTAGTACTAGTAGTAATAGTAGTAGCAAGTAGAAGTGGTGATATTAGTAGTAACATTAGTAATGCTAATAGCCGTAGTAGACGCAGTCGTAATAGTAGTCGCAGTGGTAGTAGCAGTTAGGCTAGTAGTAGTAGTGGTAGTAGTAGTAGTAGTGGTAGTAGTAGTAGTAGTAGCAGTAGTAGCGGCAATAGTAGTAGTATGACCGTAGTAGTGTTCGTGGTAGTGTGTAGCAATAACAATTTTGATGGTAGTAGTCGTAATCGTAGTCATAGTCGCAGTCGTAGTAGTAGCCGTGGCAGTCGGATTATTAGTAGTAGCAGCAATAGTAGTAGTCGCCGTCGTAGTAGTCGTAGTAGCCGTAGTAGTAGTAGTAGTAGTAGTAGTAGTAGTAGTAGTAGTACTAGTAGCAATTGCAGCCGTAGTCGTAGTAGTCGTAGAAGACATAGTGATAGTAGTAGTCAAAGTAGAAGTAGTAGACGTAAAAGTAGTAGTGGTAGAAGTAGTAGCGGTAACAGTAATCGTATCAGTAGTAATAGAAATAATCGTAGTAATCGTACTAGAGCAGTAGTAGTAGTAGTAGTAGTAGTAGTAGTAGTCGTAGTAGTAGTAGTAGTAGTAGTCGCCGTCGTCGCATGAGTAGTAGTAGCAGTAGTAGTCGCAGTCGTAGTCGTAGTCGTAGTCGTAGTAGTAGCAGCAGCAGCAGCAGTAGTAGTAGTAGTAGTAGTAGTAGCTGTAGTAGTAGTAGTAGTAGTAGGAGTAGTAGTAGTAGTAGTAGTAGTAGTAGTAGGAGTAGTAGTAGTAGCCGCCGTAGTAATAGTAGTAGTCATCGTCGTCGTAGTTGTTGATGTAGAACTGAAAATCGTTATTTGTAGTAGTAGCGGTAGAAGTCGCCGTCGTAGTAGTAGTAGTAGTAGTAGTAGTAGTAGTAATAGTAGTAGTAGTAGTAGTAGTAGTAGTAGTAGTAGTAGTAGTAGTAGTAGTAGTAGTAGTAGTAGTAGTAGTAGTAGTAGTAGTAGTACTGACAGTATTAGCAGTAGTGCCGGGAATCATACATGTAGACTCATCGTCACTATAACAACAGATGATGCAGCTGTCCAAATACAACTGGTAGAAGCGGCAAACGGAGTAGCAGGGTTAGAAGCAGGAGGGCGAGGAGCAGCAGAAGAAAAGGAGCAGCAGGAACACATGGGGGGTACCGCAGGAAGCGCAGCATGAACAGCAGGAAGAGGAGCACCTGAGCAGCACGCAAAAAGTGTAGCAGAAGGATCAGCAGGAGTGGGAACACTGAAGGGAGAGCACCGCAGCAGTCAGGGGAGGAGGAACAGGAGGAAAGGAACACAGGAAGAACAATAGCATCAAGAGGAGTAACACCAGCAGGGAGAAGAGCAGCCTGAGAAGCAGCCAAAGGAGCAGCCAGAGCAGCAGCATGAGAAAACGGAGGGGCAGCAGGAGGAACCGCAGGAGGGGGAGGAGGAGCAGGAGGACCAACAGGAGCAGCTGAAAGAGGAGCAGGAAAAGAGCATCACGAAGAGCAGTCGGAGAAATAGCAGGAGCAAGAGCAGCAGCAAGAGGAAGAGCAGCAGAAGAAGAAGAAACAGGATGAGCAGCCAGATGACCAGCATGAGGAACAGCAGGAGCAGGGAGGAGCAGCAGGACGAGGGGGGAGGAGCAGCAGCAGGCTAGAGGAGCAGCAGTAGCAGGAGGAGTGGCAGCAGGATGGGCAGAAGGAACAGCAGGAGGAGCAGCAAGAGGAACAGCAGCAGGAGGAGCAGCAGCAACAGGAACAATAGCAGGAGAAACAACAGGAGAAACAGCGGCAGGAGCAGCATGAGGGCCAGCAGGCAGAGCACTGGAGGAGGAGGAGGAGGAGGAGATACACCGGACGAGGAGCAGGCTGAACAGTGGAGCAGCAGCAGGAGCAGCATGAGCAGAAGGATCAGCAGGAGCAGCAGCAGCAACAACACCGCATTCCAGGCGTTCCAGGCATTCCCGGCGAGCCGGATACTTTCGAGCGCCACAGCATGCTTGTGAGCACCAGAAGCGTACCTGTCAACACCACAGCACGCATTTGAACATAGCGCCATACCTATATGACCACCATCCGGGTGATAAGAGGTTGTGCGGGAGTAACCAAGTGTCGACAACTGCGATCACTGTTATGGCGTCAACAACATCACAATCATCGCAGCGGTCAGGAGAGACCTCATTTGAGAACCATCACATCACTTGTCGTCGGTGTGTGTGTGTGTGTTTGTCGCAATCAGTAGATCAGGACCATTGAAAAACAGTTGGGGCGCTTTTGGAACACATCGGGACACTATCAGGACATCATCGAAACACCATCGGGAGGAGCACCTGAAGACACTGCGAGGGCAAATGAATAACACCATCGGGACACCATGTGGACAACATCGGGTCACCATGTGGACACCATGGGGTGACCATGCGGACACCATCGGGACACCATCTGGACACCGCCATCACTGTTGATCCCACCATCGGTCACTCTTCCAATCTACCAATCTCACCATCAATCGGTCTCATTGTTTATCACACTATCTATCTATCGATCTCAGTCGATGGGTCTCACGGTCCATCGGTATCACTATCTATCTATCGCTCTCACGGGACAACCATCGGGGCACCATCGGGACATCATCGGGACACCATATGGACATCATCGGGGCACCATTGGGGTACCCATGGGACACCATTGGAACCATCCCATCTGGACACCATCGGGACACCATCGGGTCACCATCGACACACCGTCAGGACACCATCGGCACACTATCAGGACACCATCTAGACACCATCGGGACGCCTCCAGGCCACCGCAGGCCCACTGGGGGGAGAGCTCGACATGATCTGGCCCGATTTCGCCCTGGCAACGTAACACCATCGGGACACCACCAAGGCACCTTCGGGCCACCGCCTGCCAACCGGGGGGAGGGCACAGCATTATTTGGCCGGGTTTTGCCCTAACAACGGCGGGTTCACTCCTCTCGCCCGCGCACGCAACTTTACCCCGCTCGCACGCACGACACGAACACGAGACCGAAACCGATTTCCCTGTGGGGGTATCCGTCTCATTTCGATCTCACCCCCCAAAACTCCGACCACCCGTAGAGGAGCCAACACCACCCATGCGTAAGCCCGCTACCCTCACTAGACGGGGGGGGGGGGGGCGCCCCCCCGTGACGGAAACACTGCTGGTTCAACCAGAAACACTCACCAGAGAAAACCCCAATCAGTGGATTGTTGCATGGTTCGCGGGTGCTTCAATCGGCCTTCCTCCCGCCCGAGCCTAATTCGTATATACGTTATTTTCCAGCCTAGTTAAGATATATGTTTGTTGATTATCTCTCTCTCTCTCTCTCTTTCTTTGTATACTTGTTTTCTCTCTTTCTCTCTCTCTCTCTCTTTCTCTTTCTGTGTATGTGCCTCTCTCTCTATGTGTATATATATATATGTACTAGGACCACGCGCGCGCTTCGCGCGCGCGCTGAGGTTCTAGTTGCAGCTGCGCAACACTTTACGGCTCTCGCCTGCGCTCGTCTGATCGGAGACACTGCGAAGTCCGCTGCATGTGGGCGTTGCAGAGTCTCCATCCGCCCTGGCCCCCTGTCCCTCCCTCGTCATCGTCCTTCTCCTCCTCCTCCTCATCGTCCTCCTCCTCCCCTTGCTCCTGCTCCTGCTCTCCCTTATCATTCCCTCCTCCTCCTCCTCCTCCTCCTCGTTAATCCATCTCCTATTCGTCCTCCTTCTCTTCCTCTTGCTGTTCCTCCGCCTCCTCCTCCTCCTCCTCCTCCTCCTCCTCCTCCTCCTCCCCCGCCTTTCTTTTTGTCCCATGTCCTGAGCTGAGCCCTGGGAACCCCGCCGCCCACCAAAATCGGCCCAAGACCAACAACTGGGAACCGGGGAACCCGGAACCGTGAACCCGGGAACCCGGCCCCCTACCCGAATCGGCCCGGCACCTTTGCCAAATCTTTGAACCTCCGCTGGGATACCTTCAATACACGCACTGTTTGGGGAAGAAGCACTCCAGCATATTGGAAGAACGCCAGCGGTGCTGAACAAAAAACGGGCCACCCGAAGTCCGGCACGTTCTCGGTTACATGCAAAAGCGACCCTGGGTAAGAGTGACCGTTGGTGCGCGGCTTTTTAGGGGGCCGCGGGGGGGCCGAACACAATCGCGCAAGACGCCACCGCCGCCTCGCGCTCGGCGATCGGCGGACCCCATTGCGCCCGCATCAAAGGTCATTCCGGCGAAGGGTCACTCTTACGTGTAGTCGATGCCCAAGCGTTCCACTTACCCCCGGCGCTCGGACAGGAGCCCGGGTTATACTTCGCGAGCCAGCGCGCGCGCGCGGGGCCTTCCACCCCCGCCGCCGCTGTGCAGGACGGACGAGCGAGGACAAAAGAAGAGCAGCTCGGCATAGGCGCAAACTTGCGGAGGTCCGCGTGGATTTCGCGCGGAGCGCACCAGGGGTGGCGCCAGAGGCGCCAGCCGCCAGTGGAGCCCAAGGCCGAGCCAAGAAACCCGCGCGGACCTCCGAATTTATGCGCATGCAGCTTTTGTTTATGACTCTTCTCCGAGATGAGTGGCAACGAGAAGGGTGGACTGGCGCAGGGGGGGAAACATCGACCTGGATCGGCGATACATCGCCGATGAATCAGCGATAGGCCCCAGATAGCGAATCCGAACGTTCTTGGGCAGGTTGGGGCTATCAAGCCCGTATCGGCAAACAATGGGCGATTGGGGGTCGAGGGCCCCCACCCTAAGCCAATCCCCCTCTACCGATGCTCCTGACGAGGAGGGGGACAAGCTGGCAGTATGTGGAAATGAGCGCGGGTGCACTGGCTCGTTGTCCAGGCACTCCGCGCCCCCAAGAGAGCGCCCGAATGGCCGCCGCTGGCCAGTGTGATACGGCGGCGAGGGAGGACGCGCGGCCAGGCGGCCAGGCCGCTGCCGCTGCGAGGACGGGGCGATCGAGGAAGGGGGAGGAGGGGGGGCGCAGTGGAGAAAGAACAACCTGCATAAACATTAACGTTTGACGGTCCGCGCGGGTTTCTTGATTCGTCGCTGGGGTCCGCTGGCGGCGCCTCCGGCGCCGCCCCCGTCGCGCTTCGGACGCCAAGGAGAGACGCCCGGCACAATTCTCAGAGATCCGCGCGGAGCTCCGGAAGTGTCTGGGGGCGGGCAGCAAGGGAACGCTGACCATGCACCCGCACCGATCCTGGCCTGGCCTGGCCCTGGGCCCAGGATCGGGCCGGGCGGGATCGGCGCAGCCCGTATAGCGGACAGGGAGCGGAGGGGGGACGCTGGGGTCGGACCTCCGATGCTCGGCCGTTGCGTGAGGCAGGAGGCGCTGAACTCGGGGGCGAAGAAAGGCGCACCTGCTCCTTTCGTGCGCCTTCGAGAGGGCCCCCCAGGGCCCAAATGGCACATCCCCTCCGTTTGCCGCCTCCCCATGACGCAACATCCAGGAAGCCTCGATTTCGTGGTGCCAAGGCCTCACCAGATCACTCGACCACCTCCTGAACGGAACGCCTTTTCGCCCCACGTCGCCTGTCGGCATGATCCCAGGCCTAGAAGGCGGCCCCCGTGCGCTGGAAGCAGCGGAGACCATCCGCCTCATTACGATCCAGAGAGTTGGAGGCCTGGAGAGGCAGAAAGGTCCTCCTCCCCCTTCTCCCCCCCCCCTCCTGCTCCGTTCCCTTCTCTTATCCATAACTTCACCTTGTCGCATCCCGAAGCCAGTGTTTAGGGCGGGCCGGGCGTTTCGCCTGAGACTTCCTCACCACTTGTGACCCTTAACCTGAAAATCGACAACAATTTCACGGATTGAGGGCGGCCCGTCTTCAAAATGTGGCTCTGGCCTTAGCGCCGCGCACATTCGTTGTAAAAGATGCAAGAGTTTCACGGATCGAGGGCGGCCCGTTTTCAAAATGTGGCTGTCGCTTTGGCGCCGCGTACATTCGTTCTGGAGAAATGCAAGAGATTCACGGATTGAGGGCGGTTCCTTTTCAACATGTAGCTCTCACCTTAGCGCTGTAAAGAGGGAAAAACGTAACAAATCAAACGTTCTACGGGTTCCCATGGTCAGCGAAACAGAAATGGGGTTTTGGAAGGATTTGGGAGTGCAGCAATTACGTTGATTCGCGGTGTTGAAGTCATAAGAATGGCGCTCTGGCGCGATTCAGGATCGTGAAAACGCAACAGTCAGGTTGATCCGTGGCGTTGGAATCCCAAGGACAATGTTTTGGCATGCTTCAGGGTCTTCAAACGGCTGTCTTCCGGCGAGGCAGTTCCCTGAGTGGAAATGAGCCGTTGTAGGGGCCTATGAAGAGGGAGCTTGGAGGGAGGTTTGATTTCAACATCGTTGATGACTCCTGGGTTTGCACTGGTTCTCTTCCTCCTCCTCCTCCTCCTCCTCCTCCTCCTCTTCTTCATCCTCAGGAGGAGCTGGAGAAGGTGCCGAGAGCGGTCAGCGGCGAAAGAGGCGGGCGAAAGAGGCGCGCAGAATGGGCGGGCGGCACCGCCACTGGGCAGTCGGCTGGGCCCGGACACGCATCATCGACTCAGACGCGGATGCCATTCGCCAATTGTTCTTCTCGGCGGGAGCCCAGACGGCGGAAGCGAGAGGGGGCAGGACTTCTCTGAGTCAGAAGGCTTGCGACGCATGGGGCCTTCTGAGACGTCCCACCAAAACGTCTTTCGCCCAAGATGGTCCCAAGGGAGCCTCAGAGAGCCCAAGATGATCTCCAAGATGGTTCCAGATAGCCCAAGATGCCTCAACCCGGCTCCCAAGATGCTCCAAACGGCCACAAGAACGCTCCAAGACGGCTCCAAGACGCCTCCGAAACCTCCAAGGAGGCCTCCAAAAAGCCAAAACACTTCCAAAACCGAAGGAAAATCGATGAATGTTGCTGTCTCGCCTTTTCGCTCCCGATGGCCATCCGAGGCCTCAAGATGGCTCCAAAATGGCCCGAGAGAGCCCTAGCAGAGGCCCCGGAGAGCCCCAAGAGGGCCCCAAGAGCGCCCACGAGTGCCCAGGAGCGCTCCAAAAGGGCTACCGGAAGCGATGTTCGGAGCTCCCGAGGGGGGACGCAAATTGGAACCCCCCTTTTTCCCAACCATCCTGTGGTGTTGGGTCCTCGTTTTGAAGAGACGGTTCCCGCGTTCTCCTTCTCTCCTCCTCTTCCCCCTCCTCCTCCACCGTCCGCATGCGTCCCGCACACCCAGCACAGCGTTTCGTGGCCCTCCTCCCTTTTCTCTGCGTTTGACCCACCCAGTACAACGCTTCGTGGCCCCATAGGGAGCCCCACCGAAGGTCCCAGCGCTACCGTCTGCATGCGTCCCGCACACCCAGTACAACGTTTCGTGGCCCCATAGGGAGCCCCCACCCGCAGGTTCCCAGCGCAACCGTCCGCATCTCCCGCACACCAGTACAGCTATACGTGGCCCTCGTGGCCCCCCATAGGAGCTCCACGAAGGTCCCAGTGCCAACCGTCCGCATGCGTCCCGCACACCAGTAACATCGTTTCGTGCCCCATCGGAGCTCCACCGAAGGGTCCCCAAGCTACCGTCCCATGCGTCCCGCACACCAGTCCCAGCGTTTCGTGGCCCGACCTCTTCTTCCTCCCTGCGTTTCCACTCACTTCCAGTACAACATATCGTCAGCCTAATACAAAAGTAAGCCCCACCGAAGGTCCCAGTGATACCGTCCGCATGCGTCCCGCACACCCAGTACAGCGTTTCGTGGCCCCATGGGGAGCCCCACCGAAGGTCCCAGCGCTACCGTCCGCATGCGTCCCGCACACCCAGTACAGCGTTTCGTGGCCCTCCTCCCCCTCCTCCCTGCGTTTCACCCACCCAGTACAGCGCTTCGTGGCCCCATAGGGAGCTCCACCGAAGGCCGCAGTGCCCCCGTCCGCATGCGTCCCGGAAGCCTTATTTGGCATTTTCACACACCCAGTGCAACGTTTCGTGGCCCCATACGGGGCTCCACCCAAGGCCCCAGTGCCCTCGTCCGCATGCGTCCGGGAAATGTAATTGGGCATTTTCACCCGCGCAAGGCAGCGTTTCGTGGCCCCAGGGGGGGCTCCATCGAAGCCCCCAGTGGGACCGTCCGCATGCTTCCCGGTTGCCCAATTTGGTATTTTCACTCACTGAGTAGAGCGTTCGTGGCCCCATAGGGAGCTCCACCGAAGCCCTCAGTGGGACCGTCCGCATGCGTCCCGGAAACCCAATTCGGCACACCACCCACACAGTACAGCGTTCCCCCCCGCCCAGTGCAGCGCTTGGTGGCCCCATAGGGAGCTTCACCGAAGCAGATATTCACAATTACGGTACCCACAACTGCATATGGTTGGGACCTTCGCCAAGATAATTTCCCAACCATCCTGTGGTGTTGGGTCCTCGTTTTGAAGAGACGGTTCCCGCGTTCTCCTCATCTTCCTCCTCTTCCCCCTCCTCCCTACCGTCCGCATGCGTTCCGCACACCCAGTGCAGCGTTTCGTGGCCCCATAGGGAGCCCCACCGAAGGTCCCAATGCTACCGTCCGCATGCGTCCCGCACACCCAGTACAGCGTTTCGTGGCCCTCCTCTTCTTCCTCCCTGCGTTTCACCCACCCAATACAACGTTTCGTGGCCCCATCGGGAGCCCCACCGAACGTCCCAGTGCTACCGTCCGCATGCGTCCCGCACACTCATTACAGCGCTTCGTGGCCCCATAGGGAGCCCACCGACGGTCCCAGCGCTACCGTCCGCATGCGTCCCGCACACCCTGTACAACGTTTCGTGGCCCCATAAAGGAGCTCCACCGAAGATCCCAGTGCTACCGTCCGCCTGCGTCCCGCACACCCAGTTCAGCGTTTCGTGGCCTCCTCCCCCTCCTCCCTGCGTTTCACCCCCCAATACAGCGCTTCGTGGCCCCATAGGGAGCCCCACCGAAGGTCCCAGCGCTAGCGTCCGCATGCGTCTCGCACAACCAGTACAGCGTTTCGTGGCCCCATGGGGAGCCCCACCGAAGGTCCTAGCGCACAGCGTTTCGTGGCCCCATAGGGAGCTCCACCGAAGGTCCCAGTGCTACCGTCCGCATGCGTCCCGCACACCCAGTACAGCGTTTCGTGGCCCTCCTCCCCCTCCTCCCTGCGTTTCACCCACCCAGTACAACGTTTCGTTGCCCCATACGGAACCCCACCGAAGGTCCCAGTGCTACCGTCCGCATGCGTCCCGCACACCCAGTTCAGCGCTTCGTGGCCCCATAGGGAGCCCCACCGAAGGTCCCAACGCTACCGTCCGCATGCGTCCCGCACACCCAGTACAGCGTTTCGTGGGCATCCTCCCCGTCCTCCTTGCGTTTTACCCACCCAGTAAAGCGTCTCGTGGCTCCATAGGGAGCTCCACCGAAGGCCGCAATGCCCACGTCCGCATGCGTCCCGGAAACCCCAACATGGCATTTTCACCCACCCAGTGCAGCGTTTCGTGGCCCCATAGGGGGCTCCACCCAAAGCCCCAGTGCCACTGTCCGTATGCGTCCAGGAAATGTACTTTGGCATTTTCACCCGCGCAAGGCAGCGTTTCGTGGCTCCATAAAGGGGGCTCCACCGAATCCCCCAACGGGACCGCCCGCATGCGTCCCGGCAACCCAATTTGGCATTTTTTCTCACCCAGTAGAGCGCTTCGTGGCCCCATAGGGAGCTACACCGAAGCCCTCAGTGGGACCGTCCGCATGCGTCCCGGAAACCCAAGTCGGCATACCACCGACACAGTACAGCGCTCCCCCCCGCCCAGTGCACCGCTTCGTGGCCCCATAGGGAGCTTCACCGAAGCAGATATTCACAACTAGGGTACCCACAACTGCATATGGTTGGGACCTTCGCCAGGATAATTTTGATCGGTGTCCTCCAAAATTGCTCCAAGAGTGCCTCGCAAATTTTCAAGAGCGCCCCAGGAGGGCCCCAAGAGGTGCCAAAGCGCCCCCCCCCCCCCCCGCCCACCCCCCCTCCTCCCCCCTACCCCGGGCGCCAACCTCCGCCAGCCCCCCCCCCCTCCCCCACCCACCCCCCCCCCCCCCAGCCAGCCGCCAGCCCCCCCCCAATCCAAGGCCACCAACAGCCCACCCCCCCCCCCCGCCCAAAAAAGTAGGCCTCCAAAGTGCACACTGCCAAAAGCCCAAGCGCAACAAGAGAGACGCCGAGGTACCCAACTTATTTCCTCTTCTTGCACCATTCTCGACCGCCACGACCTCGCCCTAGCTCCGTCCCCCTTCCTGCTCCTCCTCCTCCCTCCACCTCCTCCTCCTCCTCCACCTCACCTCTTTTCCACCTCTTCATCCTCCGACGATAACGCTTCCATCCCACTCCAAC